TTAATATATGCCATAAATATTGGATATTTTCATTTATAGTATTAAATACTAATTTTCTTTAAGATTTCTCAGACATAAGACTTTTCCTAATTTATTTTAAATGCCTTTCAATATTTTTGTTTTATACCTACGTATATATTTATTTGTTTTTCAGGTGGATATTTTGCATGATATGATCGGCTCTAATCTAGCCAGTCCAGAGTAGTTTTTTTACAGAAATATTTAAGAAAAGTGAAGGTGATGTAAAACATGGCATTTAATAGTTCACCATTAATTATTAAATATTTATGTGGTTCTGTGTGTGTGTGTGTGTGTGTGTGTGTATGTGTGTGTGTGTATGTGTATGTATGTATGTATATATATATATATATATATATATATATATATAGGTCTTTGGTTGTTCGGGTTTTCTCCCGCGTAAAATTGGAAGTGTCTTGGCGACGTTTTGACGAAGTCCCATTCGTCATCTTCAGGCTGGTGTTTTCAGCTTCGTGCTTCGAGCAGCACGAAGCTGAAAACACCAGCCTGAAGATGACGAATGGGACTTCGTCGAAACGTCGCCAAGACACTTCCAATTTTACGCGGGAGAAAACCCGAACAACCAAAGACCTACATACAAACACCCGCAAAAACCTCAGAAAACACACACACACACATATATATATATATGTATATATGTATATATATATATATGTCTGTGATTGTTTTCCCTATATAAGACACCTACAAAGACAATCTGTTCTGAATGTTTTAAAAAGCCCCTAAATGGTTTTATGGAAAGTACTAATAATTGATTTCAGGTAGTCCTCAGGTATGAGCTATCATAATTGGGACTAGGAATTCTGTTTCTAAGAGACATGGTCGTAAAGTATGACATTATGTGTCCACACCAACTTATGATGACAGTTCTAATGGTTCTCATTGCGGTAGTTAGGTGGGATGTCATATCTCAACCACGTGCAACCTCCTGCCAGCTTCTGCATTGACTTTGCTTGTCAGAAGGTAGCAGTGAAAGCCACAAATGGTGATCATGTGACTGCAGGACACTGCAACCATTGTAATTGCAAGCCTGTTGCCAATCATCCAAATCAAGATTACATGATGTTGCGATGGCCACAACTTCAAGGGCTGTAGATAAGTCTCCATGTTCAGCACCATCAGAACTTTAAACGGCCTCTGAATGAATAGTTGTTATCCAAGAGTGCCTGCAAAAACAAACACAAGCATTCAAACACAGATAATGAAAGGTAGTCTTTTTTTACTTTGAATGACATCCAGGAAAAAGCAGGTCGATATTTAAATTATGCCTGGATTCAGGATTGTTTTTGTTGATGCCGTTCTAATATTTTTTTATATTATTGAAAAAAAAGGGATGTTAGGAGAACGACAAAACCCAAATTTCTTTCCACAAACAACTAAGATTCACATCGGTATTGATTGGTTAGCATCAAAATAAGGGAGGCCAATTTATAATTTGCTCATATAAATATAGGAAGTCTCCAGATTATGAACCTCCACCTTAAAAACAACCCCTAGTTATGAATAGGCTGCCTGCAGTATTCAAACTGGTGGATGGCCAACTGGCAAAGAGATCCATCTCAAAAAAAGAAAGGCAGGTGTAGGCCAGCAAACAGAATCCTTGTGCTGCAGGCAGGCAGGTGTGTGTGTGTGTGTGTGTGTGTGTGTGTGTGTGTGTGTGTGTGTCCTAGTGGTGTTTCTGTCTGGTGTGTGTCTGTGTAACACAGCCCCATCTACTGTTCCACTGCTGCATTTCCAAGCCCTCTTCTTCAGCTCACACCCTGCATGTGTTTCTGCTTGCATCTCTCTCTCTGTGTGTGTGTGCTCTGATAAGCCAAGTGAGTGCTGGAGATTGGAAATTAGGATGTTTGGAGATCAGCTGTGGGGAATTTTTGTGTCTTTTGGGGGTACTTTTAAGGGCATGCTGGGCTATACAAATTTGGGGCATCTGGCAACACTAAACCTGTTTTCAGCAGTTCATAGTCATAGACAAACACATAACTAAATAATCTATTCCATTTTGCATACAAATTCAACTTAAGGGCAAATTTAGGAATGGAACTTGTTTTAACCTGGCGAAATGCTCTCTTTATCAGGATTTGTTCTAGAATATTGCTGATTCTCCAGAGTTTCATGAGAAGCAGCACTGGGCACTGGAAAGGGAAGGAGCTATTGCTGAACAACTTCTCCTTCCCCTTCTCCAACACAGAAACCTGAACTGGTCTTGTCTGCAGTAATCTGCAATTAAAAGGAAACCTCTTGTGCAGTAAGCAGCCCAGTCTAGAACAACCCCTCCATACGTAATACATACCACTTTTCCATTATTAACAGTTTTAAAAGTTCTAAATTATTGAAATAATTCTAAGCCTTGTAAGCTGGGGAGCTGTCACAAATGAATATTATAGTTTTTAGTTGTATCGTCAAATTGGCTTCCCAGGCATGGCAACAAGAACTGAGTGTTTAAACAGATCAAATTATAAACTGGTTAGAAAGCATTAACACCTATCTCTAAGTGCAGTTTACACATTTTGATGAAGAAATTATGTGACAAACTGTTTCCTGTCGTATTTCTAAAGATGGCATACATTAGAGTGAACAGTGTGTTAATCATTATCCTCTTAAAAGTGACAAAAGGATGTGTTCTTTCTTTTAAGAGCAGATAGAGATTGTTTTTTATTTGTTGGTTCTACTAAAGAACTGAATATTTTAATGCTTTTGTAAGCTGAAAATATCATCAAGGTTAATGGCATTCTATGTCAAAGTTAACAATCATCAACACTTACGTCTTGAAGTTGGAGAATATGTGTGATGTAAGGGATCAGTACCTTCCTTTATATTTTAGCTACAATGTATTTTAAAGCATATTTAAAAGAGCAACTAGTCTCAGCTATTTTTTCTAATAAAAAAATTAGAAAGAAACCTATTTATACTTACAGCAGGCCACTATTCAAGGGATTTTGAGCAAGTTATTTTCTTCTTAGTCCAAAGGTAATCTTAAATTAACTTGTAGTAGATATTCCAAAGGATTTGGAATGGCAGAAGCCCATGAAATGAGTACTATGTGCCAACCTGTAATCTCCAAAAACACTCTTAAAAACACCATATAACAAATTCTTTAAAAAATCTCCATACCCAAACTACCAAGTGTGAAAGGAAATAGAATTACAATGGATCAAACAATCCAGATCAGAATTTGTCAAAGGAAAAATGAAGACAATATACATTAGTATACTAATAGGCTGCTTTTCTTAATGATACAAGGTTCTCTGAGCTATCTTGCTTCCTTACAGAAGATACAGGTGCTTTTTTTTCCCTCAGAGGGGCAAAAAGTACCTTGCATTGCACTCCGAACTGCAATTTTGTGAGCTTCTGCATATATCCTTTAAAACAGTGGTTCTCAACCTTTCTAATGCCGTGACCCCATAATACAGTTCCCCATGTTGTGGTGACCCCCAACCACTTATACATCACCGGGTATCAGGGGCGTGGCCAAAGAAAAGGGGAAAAAAATGGTGGACAGCCTTGTTTGGTGACCCCCGTGAAATGGTCGTTCGACCCCAAATGGGGTCCTGACCCACAGGTTGAGAACCACTGCTTTAAAATATATACATAATAGCATAACTGAAGATTACATGTGTTTCCTCATGTTATCCTTACCAGGAATTTCTGTCATTGTACTTGGGGAATTGTTTTGCTGTTCCTGCTCCAATATTGCATCTTGCATAATTTACTCCACATAGACTGGAAATGGGCCGTACAAGTTCTCCTAGGATGGTATCCTGCTGTTCTAAGAACTACTAGCCTGACAACCGTGTTAGCCTTGTGTCCATTTCTTTTGTTTCATGTCCTGCCTTTATTATTTTTATACACAACTCAAAGCAGCAAATATATCTAATAGTCCTTCCACCTCCTATTTTCCCCACAACAACAACTTTGTGAAGTGGTTTGGGCTGAGAGAGAGTGACTGACTCAAAGTTACCCACCCAGCTTTCATGCCTAAGGTGGGACTAGAACTCACTGTCTCCTGATTTCTAACCCAATGCTTTAACTGCTAGACCAGTGTTTCCCAAACTTGACAATTTTAAGGCATGTGGACTTCAACTCCCAGAATTCCACAGCCAGCGTTGCTGGCTGTGGAATTCTGGGAGTTGAAGTCCTCATGCCTTAAAATTGTCAAGTTTGGGAAACACTGTGCCAGACCAATCTGGCTGCCTCTCTTGTTTCTAGTGATGAAAATAGAGTCCCTGGAAAAGAAAAAAGTTAGAAAGCTGAACTTACTTTTTAAGGATCAGGCAATCAAAAATTATCGTTTTAGTACTGATACAGACATGTATAGCCACGTGGCAAAATATTGATCACGAAGAACCAATGCAAGGTCTGTGTATAACATATTTTGTGTGGATATCAGGATGCAATTATATATGGCAGTGATGGCGAACCTTTTAGAGACCCAGTGCCCAAACTGCAACCCAAAACCCACTTATTTATCACCGGGTGCTTGGTGGTCATGGCCATGGTGATCATGGCAGACTGGGTAGGCGGGGCCAGGGCGGCAGGGGCCAGTCCCTCACCATCTCTGGGGCATGGCATGGGTGCCCACAGAGGGCTCTGAGTGCCACCTCTGGCACGCGTGCCACAGGTTCGCCACCACTGATATATGGTGAGTCTGAGTTATAATGTCATCTGTGCATGTCATTTTTAATATCACTAGGGTTAGCTGTGTACATCTATAAGTGCTGTCAAAAGTTAATTCAAAGTTTAATACAATTTCAGCAATTGTAAATAACTATGCTCACATTTATTTTAGTTTTATCTACACACTCAAGCTGAAGCAAGGCACTTTTATGATCTAAAGCAGGGGTTCTCAACCTTGGCAACTTTAAGACTTGTGGACTTCAACTCCCAGAATTCCTCAGCCAGCTTTGCTGGCTGAGGAATTCTGGGAGTTGAAGTCCACAAGTCTTAAAGTTGCCAAGGTTGAGAACCCCTGATCTAAAGGCTTTTTCTCTGAGTTTCAACTCTACAACATCCTATGTCATCCTTGCTAGATTACATCCATAATTTCAGAAACCAATACTATCTTCAAATAGATTATATCAGAATGCAGTAGAAACATATAGAAAAGCAAATCAAGATACAGATTATCTCTCATTCCAAAATTATTTGTTGATGGTTTTCAAAATCTGTGCAAAATTTAAATCAAAAGATCAATATAGCTGAACCAGCACACATATGATTAAAGCATTGGAAAAATTCAGGGAATCCAATAATTCTGCTAAGTGTTCCAAAGCAACATGGAATGTTCTTACTAGTTAAGTTAATCCACTACTTAAAAAATATAGCAGCCACAATAATTTGCACTTAGTTAAATATCACAAGCAAAACTTTGGGATGTGGAGATGAAGTGCACATTTATAATATTGATCTAAGGCAGAAGTATTCTATAAATGTTCTGGAACACTGATCTTGCTGTTATTTTAGCCAATATAGTGATATACTGAAAGCCCAGTAACTATTTGAGAACAACCCAGGTACATAACCTAAAGCACTTAAAGCTATCAGAAAACCATTTTACTACTTCTGCCTACGTCATTCAACCAACAGCCCAGATACATATAAATTGGTGGCGGATCTCAGCATGAACCTCTAGTAGCTCTTTACTTCTTTTCTGCTCAGATTTGCTACCAGGTGTTTCACCTACTGTACATAATGAAGGTGGTACTATTAGGCCTGCTTTTTCTCTGTGTCATGGTCATATATTCTGAAACAACAACTGTTAAACTCTGTGGGAGAGAATTTGTCAGAGCTGTTGTCTTTGCTTGTGGAGGATCACGGTGGAAAAGACAACTTGGTGACCCTTTCTCAGAAGGGCTCATAGGTGAGCATATAAATTGCCCAAATATTCATATTTTTGGCATGCAATCGGTCATTTTTTGTCTCTCCTTCCGACCTGCTTCTGTGCGTCCATTTTCCACACCCGATCTTGGCACATTGTTAGTTTCTCGTCCCCTCCCATAGCAGCTGTTACTGCCTCCCCATTAGCCCTGTCACTCCAGTCTTGCCTGTTGCTATCTTGTTGTAATGTTCCCTGGCCCCCCTCTCCTTTTTCCAGTTCGCTGTCTTCCCTAGGGATCGCAGTTTCCCCATTTGTAAAATCACGATCTTGCTTTTGCACCGTGAGGGGTGTCCATCTACTCTGTGGAACATTACAACGATGTGTCAAGATTGGGTGTGGAAAATGGACGCATGGAAGCAGCTTGGAAGGAGAGACAAAAAGGGGGGGAGAATAGTGAGCAGGAAGATCTTAACAGCTGCTCCTTGCAGGATTGGGGGGAGAGAGCTATGGGCGAGACAACGGCGGCCATAGGGGAAGATGACAGCCCTACAGGGCGTTTGAAATGCAGATTAAGAGATCGCTCCAAAATGAGAGGGGGGGAGAGATAGGAGGCAGAGACAGCTTGATAGCCATCCCCCAGGCGCTCGCATGCGTGCTAGAAAAGTAATGGAGCATTTGGCCATAACCACCAGGTCCACCAACAGGCTTCTGCATGTGAATCAACTTAGCACGTTGCAGATTAATACAACTAATGGGTCAATTACGCACTCGAGAAGCTAGACACAGAGACAGGTAGCTATATAGGCAAGCTCCCAAATCACCTAGCATTCCAACCCTGATGATTTCGGCAGTCGGGCCGATGAAAGCTTGGTAACTCTTTTATTTACAAACTTGTTTGTATTAAACAGGTTTGTTTTATCCTGGTGTTCGTTTTTTCTATATTTCTATATTTTATTCTATATTTATTACCCAGGATTCGCATTTTCAATGTTATTAAGGAATATATATATATATATATATATATATATATATATATATATATATATATATATAATGTGAAGTAAAATAAGGTGATCACCAGGATAAAATCATAAACATAAATGTTTAATCTACAACCAAGCTTTCGTCGGCCACACTACTGACATTGTCATGGTATAAAATGCTGGATCTGGGAGTCCGTTTTTATGTGGCTGGCTGCCTCTGCGCTTTGACCCCGGATCAGGTCATAGGTCCGCCCATTAGCATCGGCTGTGTAGTTCTTAAAGGGGCCGTTTCTAAAGTTGTCCTCTCCTCTCCAATTGCTGTTATTTTCTTTATGCGTGTGTGGGTGCCTGGAGATCCGCTGTTCATCTGCTCCTAGTCGTCCCTCCTCACCCCCGCATTCATCTTAGTTTGCCTCTGTATTGAGGGGGTGGGGAGGGACGACTGGGAGGGGATGAACAGCAGATCTCCAGGGCCCTGGGAGGGAGGGGGACTGGGCGCAGGGCGGATTGACAGCCGCCCTCCAAGTGCATGCACACGCTCTAAAAGAACACTTGAGGATCGTAAAATGACCAGTGGAGTCAAAGACAGTTTGCCAGATGCGGAACAACTCTGCACAATACGGATTAATACAATCAACGGGCCAATGATGCGCTCAAGGAACCGGGCACAGAGGCAGGAGGCTATATGAGCTGCCTTCCCGATCTCCTTCTATTCTAACTCTGATGACGCCGGCAGTTTTTGGCTGGACGAAAGCTTAGTGACTCTTCTTAACCACAGGCTTGTTTATATTAAACAGGCTGGTTTATTATATCCTGGTGTTTTTTTTACACACACACACACACACACACACACACACACATTATATGTATATTTGTGTGTGTGTGTGTATAATATAATTCCTATTCTAATTGGAGAAGCATTTGGAAGAAAATACAATTTTCTTCATTCTTTTGAAAAGAAGTTAGCTTCAATTTGGGATGTACTTTCTAGGAAAGGAAAGCTTTCTGAAAGCAATGCAGTTGTTCCAGTATAAATTCTTAACTGAAACTTCCAGGTTGATCTTCTAAATGTTAACAACACAGACTGTGCACACACAGGAAAATTTAAAACACAGATTAGCTTTTCTTTGATAATAATTTTTAGATTTTAGGTTTGTGGAGATAAAATCTGAATTTGCTTGTCTCTCATTTTTATGTAATGGAACAACAAAGGCATATATATTTATCATTTAATCTCATTCAACAGATGCCAATGGAAATTACATGGAGAAGTCAAAATCCCAAAGCAACGAATTAATCCAGTACAACATGGAGTCTGAGAAAGATTTGCGAGGCATGCAACAGAGGTCTGTGTACAAAAGAAATGAGGATGTCATGCAGCTTACAATCACTTGTTGTACTATTGGGTGCAGTGCAAACTCTATAAGTTCACTGTGCTAAAAATGTTAAGATCCTGCCATGGAAGCTTATCTAAATAAGATGCATCGTATTTAGAACAAGAGCGTTTTCAAATCTTTTCTGTATTTGTATTTCACAACTCTGCTGCTGCTATTCTACTTAGGATGTTATACAAATTAGAATTTTTTTTTTTCATACGTGTATCACCCATCTGAAGTTAGCTGCTTTGTTTCCTAATCTTGAAATAAAAATGTGCAATTCTGTAAACTGGTTTCCCTAAACAGTTCTTATCAATGCATAAAAATAGTATCGGGTTTGCAAATTAAAAAAAAAATCTCTGAACACGTTTCACTTTCTTAGGGAGTTAAAAGAACAATTTGAATGAATGGCTGGAGCTCAGTGGTTCTGCAAACGAGCTTTAATCCTTGATAAAGCTAATAGAAATCTTGACTGAAAACCTAGAATGACAGCCAGAAGAGACAATATTGACCTAGATATTTCAATGTTTATTATTCTAATTACTTTTTGCCTGGACTGATCTCAAAATAAAGATGCTTCTGAGGTTTTTGCAAGGAAATTTGCCAGTAATGATGATAAATGTTTGGTGGAAAGTATAAAAATATTTGGGGGAAAGAGTGCAGGAAAAAGAATGTTGCAGGGTTGTTTTTTTCCAGAGATAGGGAGAGGCCTTCTTGGCTGAAAAACATTTGGTTTCAAGAAATGCTTAGTGCTCCAGAACAGCTGCAGCTGGCAGTGAGATGGACTACACATTTCATATTATTCTCACCTCATAGCCTTATTCGAGATGCATATTAATGGGGGGGGGAATGTTGCCTCCATTAGCCCACTGATGTCAGATTGTGACTGTGATGTCTCTACTCATAAACTGCAAAGTTTTGTGACTGCCTTACTGTGATTCCAACATTTCATGCTGAAAATTTAAATCAGCTTCAAATCAGGTGCCATCATCTGGGTTACTTATTCTTGTGTGTCTTAATCTTTTAAAATGAGTTATCATGTACTTATTAATGGAAAAATGTAAATACAAATAGACAAAAGGTAGCCATAAATGGTTTCTACACATTTTTATTTCAAATGGTAATATTTAGATTTCTTTTCTTAAAACTTTATTCAGTTTATCAATACATTTAACAAGTGATTTATTTATATTTTTATATTTATAATATTTAATTTTAGCTGCTCAATAGGCAACCTTTTAGGAAGTGGACTGGTCCTTAACCAGTTATGTTCTTATCTAATTATTTTATAAAAAGAAAAAGAACACTTTAATTACTACTGCTATTATCTAATGTGTACAGTACCATATAGTTTCCCATGTTTTTCTATTAACACATACCAATTTCTCTGAAAAGCCAAATTACATGTTAAATGGATTAGCTTACCTTTCCAACTAATTACCTGTATAAGTATAAGCAAATCTGCTTATTACAGTTATATACCAATCATTATTCAAGAATGTAAACATAGGTAATTGGATCTCATATTCATATCTATTATTCTATCACAGGTATTATATCAGGGATACTGAATCTTTTTCTGAAAATCTGCAGTGGTGCTTAAAAGTTTGTGAGTCCTTTTGAATTTTCAATATTTCTGCACAAATATTACTTAAAATAGGACCTGTTCTCCACACTAAAGAGAACCTAATTAAACTAATGAGTCAAGAACATTATACTTGTTCATTTATTTATTGAGGAAAATGATATCAAACTACATAAATGCAGAACCACTGAAAAATCAAAAGGGTTCACAAATTTTTAAGCACCAATGTATCCAGGACCAAATAGTTCTGTGTCATTAGTTGCAATTACAATATGCTGTCTCAAAAAGTAATTGACTTTTTCTTCCATAATTAATAGATTACTTAGCAAACATAACAACCATGCTCATTGGTTTATTAACACATTAATAATATTAATGGTTATTAATATCATTATGTAAATGTGGATAGAAGTGTAATTCAAAAATAAGACCTAGTTTGTTTTTCAGCTCACATTTTTTGCATCATCATTCAGAGTAAAGAGCATAGACATTTGCAAGAGCAAACAATGATCTATTTTTAAAGGAGTATGAAGAAAAAGTATCACTTGTAGTGTCCCAAAGGCACCTGCTTCCAATCTGCATGCTCTGTTTACCTAGCTGTCCAATATATATAATCACAATAATTTTGTATCTTGGTACCATCAGGTCTTTTATCCGGGCTTTTATTACCTAGGAGAAAAATATACTTGCTTAAACTCTTAGTTACTGTTAGAGAATTAGAATTAGAAGTCCTTAGAATACAGTAGAAATCTGCTTAAGTATTTAACCATTTCATTCTAATTACAGTGTATTATTAAATAATTTAGAGGATCAAGTACCATTGGTTGAAAGTCACAAAAGCTGATTCCTTCAGGTAGTCAGAGCAACTTGTGTTATAGACAATTATAAATTCCTAGATTATAAACTGGACCATAAAGTCTTGACCTTCAACTGGTCCTTCACATAGCAGTGATATCATATTCAATATATGGGAAATATACAGAGGCAAATAATAAAGAACATTCTGAATAGCCTGAAAAGTTGTTTGCAATTTCTTGTTTATTTTACAAAAGAATAGCAAAGTAGCAGTAAGAGCTTCTCAAAAAGTAACTTGAGATATAAAACCATAGCTGAAAAAGTTCATTTGAATATGTTCTAAGCTAGGCTCGCACAATTATCAAATATTTTATAGATATCTTATATTTCATTCTTAATGTCCCGCTGTCGCTAAAAAACAATTGAAATTTCCCTCAAATAAAGCTTAAGATAGGCTCCCTTCTATTTGCACTGTAGAGTTTCTATAACTTCTATTCCAATATTGATTTTAATTCTTATTCAGTGATAATTTTGTACCTCAGATATAGTTTTAGTCATTTGCCTGCACAACTCTGCTTCATATTGTTCTTCCTGTAGATAACTTATTACCACATCCTTCAAGATATTATTCACAGCAGTGATTGGGAAATACTTTGTAGGACCTAAGAAGCAGAGAGAGAATACATAGCATTATTCTACAAGACTTTAATATGAAAAAAAAACCTTGGCTATAGATCCAACAATCCTGCTATATTGCATCATTATATTAGGAGGGGTATTCCTGGGAGGGATGAGCAAAGAATGCATGCGGGCATACTAAAAATATATACTCCCAGTGTGGTCACTCAAAGTATGAATGTATGTACTCATCCCAGCTAAAAGGAGCAGACAGACACCTATATCAGGTAGCAGTAATAAAGGAAGATGCTCAAGACAGATAATGACTTTAGAGATTAATGAGTTTGACAGTCAAATGTAGTCTGGAACTGACAAAATATGCAAGTAAGATATATTCTTGTGATTGAAGATTAGAATGTCAAAAATGGAAACAAGGAAATAGGATGGCCTAGAAACAGAAGAATGATATCTGGTTATGAAGTATCCAGGATGTTCCTACTGCTAGGCACCATCACCTTTATTAAATATACTTGTTTGACCAGTAAGTCCTAAATATTCTACATGGGGGACTGGATGATTAATATAAAAATTATACTTACCTAATTGGTATGTGTTCTCCATCTGAATAACTGGGCGCAGACTATCCTCATGGTGGCCAGGTTCATCCATATATGACACAGTACTTACAGAGCTAAACATTATAACCAAAAATAACTGCATTCATTGCCATATTAATAAAAAAATCAACAATCTGTGAAGTATCATCAAGCAATGTAGGAACTACCTGAATAGGGATTCTTGGTATGTTAAGCCCCATTGATTTTGTATGAATCATTTTTGGGAAGACATAATATTAAGTATAGCCGTGATATAGTAATTAAAGAATTACCCTGATACCTGGGGAAGTACAAGACCATAAATCTTAAAGTTGCTGAGGTTGAGGAACACTGCTCTACAACAGCTCTGTTCTTTGCATGACAACCTTTTAGTTATTTGAAAACTGCAATTTTGATTCCTTTCCATTCTTCCCGTTATTTCTTTCCAATTTCATTCTGCAACTGGAACAGGATTTCTGTACATGCCCCATTATGGCAGAACAAAATGCTATGAAATCAGTATAGAATCTCTATTCAATATGGCTCTCAGGACGGGACAGTTTCTAAAAATAAATACTTCCACGGCTGAATATAAAACAGTTTTAATCTCATGGTGCCCAAAGGGAATAATCCAAGAGAACTACCAAAAAATTAACAAGATGAAAAGTAAGAAAATATAATGCTGCTACTTACTCTTTGTTTCTTCCAAAGAAATCCTTTGCTCTGATCTCATGGCTCCCCATAGAAGATATGCTGCCTCTGTTCTTGGCCAAGCGGGTGGCTTTATCCTTCATGATCTCTGACATATTTACTAGACAGGAATTATATTTTTAAGCCTTATATTTATCTGAAAAGATATTGGCAGGCTGATAAAAGAAATGAATGTCCATTTTACAAAATCAAGTAACTGAAGAGACAGTATAAATATACATTGCACTAGCTTTTTAAGTCTTTGGGAAGAACAATTATATGACCACTTAATTATGTTTATTTGTCTTTTGTAACCTGCAAACTGGAACTGAGAACCACCTATGTCTCCAGAAGTAGATTCACCGCACCACTACAAACAAGATTTTGCAACTTCTTAAGTTTGCCATCAAAATGACAGGGAAAGGACAATAACAAAAATCCAAGTGTACTTCAGAGAAGATTTTAATTCAGGTATAATTCAGGGATTCAGAATCTGCACTTACTACCATCCATATCCAACAAGTGACAACTTACCTTAAAATAGCAACTTCATTCTTGGGAAAACCCACAGCTAGTTACCCTTCTATCACATATTCAGTGTGTTTTCTAGGATCTTTTAATATATAAGAAATCCACAAATGGAACATTCACTTCATGCTTCACAAACTCTACTTTCTTCTCAGCAGATACCCCTACTGATGTTTTTCCCTTATATTTTTGTCTGTTCAAGAATACTTGGAGAAAACTAAACTCTTAACATACATACTGTAGGTTTAGTGCCTAGTGTCAACGAAGATTCTCAATCATCCACCTGGTTGTCTCAAAAGTGGGGTTGTTTTTTTTACAAAAGGCAACTGGACTTTCTTGAGTCCCCACCCCCCCTTTTGGAAACGTTTTGCTTCTCATCTAAGAAGCTTCTTCAGGTCTTAGATGAGAACCAAAAAATTACCCCAACAACCAAGAAAAGGCCCGTTGTCTATTTGGGGGGGGGGAGCAGCACTTTGGGGATTTTAATGCCCAGTGAAATGAAACCAGTGATCCGTGTAATTATTTCAAGCGCTACATTCTGCTTTGATTGAAGTACCCCCACCATGTCTGGGGTCCCCCAAAACACTTTCTCCCAGGGGAATCCGACTTGTACCGATCGCCTGAAGGAAATCAAGGTGCTTTCATTTGCCCTTGTTCTGATCTGGGTCGTTTTCAGTTCTCCAACTTGAGTCGAACCCAAATCAGTGCCAACAAAAACACGCTTTACCCAATTAACCCGATTCTGGAGTTCCCAGAAAAGGAGCCACAGCTCAACTAGTCCGCTCGATGCCGACCGCGCCGCCCTATCTCGGGGCTGCCAACATCCGAACGACCGCTAAAGTGGCATCAAAGTGAGAAGCAACATTTTACGGCGTGGTGCATTTTGCCAGCTATCCGGACGTTGGCACCCGAAGGACGGTAGCCGCGGTTCTTACCGCTTTTGCTGCAGCAGCCCTGGGAAGCCGGAGATGTTGCTGGTTTCCCGGGCGACAACCCAGGCCCAGGACGGCTGAGAGGAAAAGGCGGCTTCAGACCTTGCCCCCGCCTCCAAGGGCTGCCGTGCAGAAAGGGAGCGGAGCGACTCGCGGCGGCAGAAAGACAGGCTAGCATTTGTGGCGCCCGCGTGAAGGAGGAGGAGGAGGCGACTGCCAGGCTAGGTGGGCGCAGCGCGCGAAGAACGCGGCTGGAAGTCTGCCCGAACCTTCCCGCGGCAGCGCAGAGGAGTCACCAACCAAAGAGGAGATTAGCGCAAAAGCCCTGCGCGCGCATCCGCTTGGCTGGCTCCTTCCCGAGCCGCAGCTTTTGCCGTTCTGTCTCTGAAGCCGAGCGGGGGGTTCGGCGCCCCTTTTCTCTCCCCACTGCGGGATTACTTCGTCTTGGAGCCTAGCGCGCTTGGGGTTCTGGTCGGGCTTCGAAAACACTAGCGGGACTACGAAAGCGCAACTCCCTCTGCCTTCCAACGGGCTTTTCCGAACCACGACCTCCACCTCCCTGAATTCCTTGGCCAGCAGCCTTTTGGTTTTCCCCATGATTGGGGGGGGGGAAAGAGGGGGACTGAGGCAAGCTGTTTAACATTTTATTGGCCCATGAGGCAACCTTGGCTTCCTGGGAATATAACTTAGAGCAGTGTTTCCCAAACTTGACAATTTTAAGGCATGAGGACTTCAACTCCCAGAATTCCACAGCCAGCAACGCTGGCTGTGGAATTCTGGGAGTTGAAGTCCACATGCCTTAAAATTGTCAAGTTTGGGAAACACTGACTTAGAGTGTTTGGCTAATAAATAAACTGGTCAAGTCAGGCTCTGGTTGATTTTATCCAGGTCATTTTTTATTATTATTTTTTTGTCATTCCTTCCTAGCGTTTTCCCTTAAGTGCGGGTCCGCTTTTTTCAGATCTATCGAAAGGTGATCAACTGGATGTGACAGGAATTGACTGACAGTTTATTGCCAGAGCCTGAGGTCATAGAGGGAGTGACTGACCCCAAGTCACCAGCTTGTTCTCCTGTGTGGACACAGAAATATAATGGAAGGATTCAAACCAGGGAAAGTCCTCAGCTCAGGTCTTATTATGTAATAAAGTAATACAAATTATTTGGAATGGTGGGTCCCAACGTTAACAGCATTTTTCAGAGCAATAGATTGGTATCAAAGGCCAGGAGCTTGGCTGTAACAGTACTAACAGAGAAGGGCAAAAGAGATGATCAGCTGACTTTTGCTCAATGAGTTTACGAACTCATATTGGCAGAACATATGCTAAATATCTGCAGAATAAATTAATTTATTGGCTAGAAAAGAAAGATGTTCATTAACTGGCCCCAATAGTTCTGGATAGTTCTGGAAGACTGTTAGCATGTCACCTCTAGTCTAGTCTAACAAAGAGAAAGATTAGAGGTGATATGATAACAGTCTTCCAGTATTGAAGGGGCTGCCACAAAGAAGAGAGGTCTACTCTTCTCCAAAGCCCCTGAAGGAAGGACTAGATGTAATGGATGGAGATTTATCAATGAGAGGACCAATTTAGAACTATGCAGAAATTTCCTGATAGTGAGAAAAATCATTCAGTGGAATGTCTTGGCTTCAGAAGTTGTGGGTGCTTCAACAATGGAGTTTTTTAGGAAGAGATTGGATGGTCATTTGTCTGAAATGGTATAGGATCTCCTGCTTGAATAGGAGGTTGGACTAGAAGACCTCCAAGATCCCTTCCAATTCAGTAATACTGTTAGTCTGTTATAGATAGTTTAGAGCAGGTTGAACAATGTTAAACCATGCTATGGTGCTGCAACACTTCATAGAAAAGTATACCCACAAATCTGGACAATCTCTTTATGCAGCATTTATTGACTTTAGATCAGCTTTTGAGATAGTATCATAGCTCTAAATTGTGGTGTATATTTATTCTGCTGCTCATAATAATTCCTGAGAATACAAGATTGAAGATCAGGTGCAATAGCCAAGGTCATGTCACCACAGAAATATTAGTAAGGAGGCAAGTTAGACAGGGATGTGTATTGGCTTCAGTTTTATTTATGCTATCTTAATTTTAGGGCTAGATCAAACTACGGTAGATCAGTATTAAGGCAAAGGATTTTACAATTAGAGGACCAATCAGAAATTGCTGCTTTCTCTCACATCATTTATTATTTATTAAGCAAATTTATATAGCTGCCTAATAATGACTCCAGGTGGCATGCAACGTTAAAATTTATTTTATAACGTATTTGTAAATAATCACAGTTTAGCTTCTACCAGCTTAATATTTATATCATAGTATAGTGTGGGCCATATAGGAAAACCCATCATGAAACTTGACATTTCCCCTATGACATGGATACTATAGAAACCACAGCCCAGGCTCTTTTGTACTGTCCATTTTACAGGGACATTTGCCATCGACCTAATTACCCCTTTCTGATCTAAATGTCTGGGACATTCTTCTATTAATAATTATATCATAGATACATTTTATGGTCATTGTTAAGACTGATTCTGGTGTAAATGAACTAATTAAAATTGGGTGCACATGAAGACAATATAAAAGACCTAGAAAGGAATACAAAACAATATGCTGATCAAACTTACTAGAAAAGCAGTTATGCTTGGAATGATCAGTGATAAATGGAAATGAGACCACAAAACAACATGGTGGCTAGGTATCATAAAAGTCAATACCAGCCAGAGTATAAAAAAACTGAAAAGGTTCGTTCAAAATTAGAAAATGTGAAAACAGCTGGTTCAGAGAATCACTAAAAATTGGACATGATTGAATGGATAACATCATTACCATTGTCTTCCCATCTGATGTGAGGCCTTGGCAAATGGTAGCATCTCATGTTGGCTGATCTGAAAAACTACGTAAAGTCAGAAACTGGTTAGCATTAGATTGGGACCATTTGGAAATTCCAGGGTCACTGGCTGGATTGGAAAGGTGAAAAACTACCTTGGAAGAATGAAATGTATCTACCTATTGAGGTATGAGTACCTTCACCATAGCAGAAAGCTCCGTTGATAGTTCTAGCATAATAGAATTACCTGTCTCTAACACTGTTGAATTGATGCTGTCAGACTAGGATCTGTGAGTGCTTCCCATACCAGAAGGAAGAGGCAACCTCAGACCTAATATGAATTTGCTATTCTGAAATGATTTTCCCTCAAATAAAAAGCATGTTTAAGAGCCAGTACTTTCAAAGATTTCAATGGGAGAAGAATAATACCAGCATCAAAGCTGCCTTCTTTGTAATTCTCCTTGGAGCATCATTTGTTTCAGACTTCCTTCAAAACTAATTCTACATTAGTTATTATTAGTGTCATCAATACTGCTAATATTAAGAGAGTATTAAACAAATAGAACTATTAATTAAAAGTAATGTGAATTTGAAGAAGCAAAACAAAAGGCCCAAACAAAATGTTATTTTTAGATTTCTCATTTATTTTCAAAGGGAAAAGAAAATCACGTTTAAATTACAGCTTAATTGTTATTTTAATGTTCTCCTTATGTATAGAATTTCATAAAGTTTATTCTGAAATGGGGACCCTATTTGTATAATATGTATGATAAATAATTGCATATTTTGAGATTTTGTGAAATGGATGTTTAAGGGAAATTATGGAGAAAATCCATTTATAAAAATCATTATTTACAAAAAATAGACATTTGTTATCTAATCTAAAAAGAAAAGAAACATTGAAAATATGTGGTTTATGATTATGTTCAACAAGCCAATACAACCTATTCATATTACCAGTGGTTTGATTCAAAGCTTTGCTGAAGGAACTCTGATGCCACAAACTTTTTTCATAATTTACATTTTTTTTGATACCATCATATTAGCAGCAATGAATAAAATAAGCAGTAAACAGCCAACTAGACTACAAGGATAGTGTATTTCATTTCACACAAAATCGGAGATGTCCAGACTTAAACTTTAATGTTTAAAAATATACATATGTATTTTGTGTCCACAAATATCTATAAACAGTTTGTACACAGGTTTTTAAAATATAAAATGATACAGTATGATATTTGATAAAACACCATGTAATCTATTTCAGGACTCAAATACTGTATCTTTTAGAAGTAAAACCCAGGATCTGCAAATGCTAAACTGCATGCCAGTAAATAATGTTTTTAATATAGGGTGTACAACAGTTCAACATGACTGAAGTTTAATATTTAGTTTTTCTGAGCCTTTAATCCAAAATACATGCATGTCTACAGTTTATCAGCCATTAAAACATAAAAAATCAGTATCTTCTAATGCACTAGTATGACTAGTGTGTTGAGATGTCCAACTGAGATGCATTTTTTTAGACTCACAGAATGAAGGTAAGAGTTCTCATATACACATTCATCTGAACCACAATTACACACTTTTTAAGATCTTAAGTGTGTAAGACAGATTTTAGACTTCCACAGATTGCTTGGTCTGCACTGAAATATTGCTCACAAAACATTTACTAACCAACTTTAATCAATGTCAGTGTGGTATTGGACTAGGGAGACCTAAATTCTAGATCACTTTCAGCTACAAGAATCCACTAGGTGATTTCAGACCGGTCACAATGGTGAAAGTGGCATTGAGTATAAGCTCTACACTTTTGGTGGGGTATGCGATGTGATGAATGTAGAAAAGAGGGCTTGCATTGCAATGCTCCTTGTGTTGTTCTGACACACATTCCTTGCTTTGCTCCTCTCGTTTAGTTGCTGATATTTAAGATGTTACAGGAAAAATGGGAGGGATGATGTCATGTGTGACACCTTGAGTTGAATGAAAGATGGGATATAGATCTAATAAATAAATACCCTAACATTTGAAACCTAAAAGGTACCACCTCCGGCTATAGAAAATCCTTCTTAACACTTAAAAAAAAGAAATTGTTCTGAGTGATTTGTGTTTCTAATGACTCTATGGGACAAATTCTTAATAGTTTAAGATGATTAGCATCATTGGAATCAGCTCTTGCATCCACTGATTGAAGAAAAGCGTGTGACTTTCAGGGTCTTGCCAGGAGCAGAGTTGTACAATTGGAAACAAAAATGGTTGGATTGTTTGACCCAACCATTGAACAGTTTGATTTTGAAGTAATCAAACATGCTGGCTATTGTGATAAAATAAATCTTGAATTTTTAAATTTGGAATTTAAAATGAGGAAAATTAGGTACAAATTGCATGTTTAACAACCAGTGTCTGCATTTCAATATACTGAACAGACTCAACACCCTAATAGATCTTAAACATGACTAAGACAGTATCATTACATTTACTTTCTTTTAAAAAGTTAACTATGTGTAAATTTTGGTATTAACTTCTAATTATTTAAAAAAGTAAAAAAATCTATCATTAAAACATCCATTTTAAGAGGCACACTAAACTATATTGCTTTCATTATTTGATTCATGAAGGAAGCCATATCTTTTTCAGGCTTACATGAAAGCTTGTAGAACAGTGGTTCTCAACCTTTTTAATGCCGCGACCCCCAACTGGTGCAGCACCGTTTGCAGAATGGGACTTTTGGCGGGCTCAGCAAGGCAGAGACAGCCTGGACAATTCCTATTGGCTTTTGAAAGCCAATAGAATTAGACTCTATTCAAGAGAGTCTATTCTATTGGCTTTCAAAAGCCAATAGAATAAAAGGGAGTAGCACAGCTAAGGAAAAGGGGAAAAAAATGGCGGACTGCGTTGTTTGGCGACCCCCGTGAAATGGTCGTTCGACCCCAAAGGGGGTCCCGACCCACAGGTTGAGAACCACTGTTGTAGAAAGAGTTGCCTGCTTTAATGAATAACCAAAAGATGCCAAGGTTGCTCAAAATCCAAGGCACATATTTGGAATCATTTCTGAAGCATGCACAGCCTTAAAATGAACTGTTTTTCTAATCCAAGATGAGATGAACCCTAACCTTTGAGAATGTCCCCATACACTTCTGAAATTTTCCACAGAATTAGAATTGTAATGAAGCAGGAGGACATGTTTAAATACATGGGAGAATAATCACATAAATGATTATTTTCATTTAATTAAGTTTAGATCAATTCAATGCCTAATCCTTGGTCACGTCTTTGACTATTCTCTAGAAAGCAGCTGTAGCATGCCTTTCAAAGGTTAATTGCAGCTCCCTTCAAAGAAGGTATGTGCCACTGCTTTAAACTTTTATTTAATATCTATATTTATTTCCGTTTCGTAATCAGTTTGTTTAAAAAGTCCATTATATCATAATCTAGGTATTTCAAAAGTCACATCAAATCTAAAGTAGAGGTTATTTACATGAATTGTCATGCTGGAAGTATTTTATAAAAGAGCATCAACATATTTGTCTTGTGAAAATGAAAGGTGATTTTCTCTCCTGGTAGTTTCAAGATAGCAGCAGTAGTAGGATTGATAAACAAGCATCAAAAAAGCCAGATTAATAAGATCCAAGTTAATTACATTACATTAACAGTAAAGTACAGATCAGGGGTTTCTGGGGATTTCAAAAATCCACATTTGTGGCACATTGAACACCACTTATGCAATTATTTTTACAATATAAATTGATAATCAGATAAAGATTAAGATTAGAGACTTGTTATTAACACTTTATATTCATTTGACTAAATATATATCTAACAAATATTCTAGTTTAAGGACAAAATAGTTTCCAGTTTCATTCACCTTCTTGCATAATAAATGAATAAATATATATATTTAATAATTTGAATTTGGGCGCTCAACTCTTGAATATATTCAGGCAGTTGAGTGAATTGCAATTTCAGAATGAGAATGTCTATTGTTCTGATCAAATTCAGTGCAGCTGTTTTTTAAAGGGAAACAAATAAATATTGTTTATAATATTTTTGTAATCATTTAATGTTTAACAATATCTTCTGTGACGTACTATTTCTGTAACCAGTAGCTAACAAAAGGAAAATGTCTTGCTCATAAATTCAATGATAATTCAATTCTTAACCATTTGTGTGACATTTTGGATTATCAATTAAGAAAACGAATATAGAATACAATTAAATTTCTGAGTAGACTCAAGACTTCAGCCCCAAACTAAAGTTCTAAAAATATGCATTCCTCAGCTAATACATTTATTTTGTCATATCTAAGAAATATCTTCTGCCCAGATCAGTAAGATAATACATAGTTCATACAGATAAATAAAATCAGCAGTATTTGGTTTCTTCGTAAACTAGATGTGATGGTTGACATAATGACAAAATGTAGTTCACCTCGGATGGAACATGGGCAGAAGGATTACACCCACATATAACACATACACACACCTTCAACAATAGGTACATTTTATTTCATATGTTACAGAGTAGATATTTCCATTCTCTGGAACTATCTTGACACAGGGTGATCCCGTCTCATACCCTCCTTGTACCTAGGAATCATAATACTAAATCACATATGGAGGTACCAGACTTGCAAGATTTTAAAGCTATTGGCAGAGCGCATATCCAAGAACAAGATTGGTTCACCATGAGCATCATCTACTCACCAGGAACAAGAATAAAACTCAGTTTATTATTTTATGAAACCCCATGAGGTAAAGGAACAATTGAAACACGTATCCCTTTCTACATGAAGTTGATACCTGAAACGTATTTTAATATGCATATTAAAGCATATTACAGGTAGTCCTTGACTAATGAGCAGTCGTCTAATGATCACATTTGGAGGACTCTGCACCTGGGCTGCATTTATAGTCCTTTGCTGTGTCCCATGGACATATGATAGTGTTTTACAATAGTTTTGCGAAAAACTGGCAGTTGCTCCCAGTTTTCACCAAAACTGGCCCTACGGCAAACATTGATTCACTTAATGGCCATGACATTTGCTTAACAACCATGACGTTTGCTTAACAACCAAGGCATATGCTTCATGACCACTGCAAAAAAGGTAGAAAAATCAGGTCAGTCACACGACCAACCCACTTTATAATCACGACGACATACAAGTATAATGGGCAGGCTCCATTATAGTTGTAATTCAAGAACTACCGATAAAGCTGTCTCTCTCTCTCTCACTCACTATATATATGTGTGTGTGTGCGTGCGTGTGTATGTATATATATTTAATATATATACATACACAAAGTGTACATATGTATACGCACAAGCATACTTTGCAGCATAATTTCAAATTAGTATGGTGTGACTATTGGAGAAACTGTCTCATCCCTGAACAATTAAAGTATACACTATCTGAAATATGCAGAGTGTTGTGTAGTTGATAAAATCAGTACTTGAGAGAATTCTGCATGGCACTGTGAACAAAAAAATTGGCTGAATTATTTCTTAAAATAAAACCATCCTTTCAAACAAAGAGGCACTTCATCAAATATCAGCCTCCCAAATAGATCAGACAGGAAACATGACATGATGAGTTAATTCTATTTTATAATAAGGGTACCTTATCAGAATCTTGCAAGTCTGAATGTACAAATCTCCTGCAGTCACTTTCTACTTTCTGATAACTTAGGACAGATCTTTTCTTTCTTTCTCTGTCCACTTACTCAATTCTGGATTATTCCCCCTTGACTCTGATTGCTCCCAGAGCAGCTTCTCCCGTCACACACACACCTCAATTTTCTAAGGTCATTCTCACATTCCAATACATCAAAGAAATAAAATTAGAGGAAAATGTGAATGCATGAAGTAGGAAGCAAGCCAGCAGGGGATAAAGGCAGTCCTTGACTTACAACCATTCATTTACTGACTGTTCAAAGTTGCAATGGCACTGAAAAAAGTGACCTGACTGGTCCTTGCACTTACAACCATTGCACCATCCCCACCGTCACGTGCTCAAAATTTGAGCACATGGCATGTATTTACAATAGTTTCAGTGTCCTCGGTCATGTAATTATCATTCGTGACCTTTCCACCCAGCTTCGACCAAGCAAAATCAATGGAGGAAAATGGATTCACTTATCAATTATAGGATTCACTAAACTATTGCAGTGGTTCACTTAACAACTGTGCAAAGAAGATTATAAAAATCAGGCACAATTCACTTAATAATCACCTTACTTAACAAAAGAAATTCAGGTCTCAGTTGTGGTCAAGGACTACCATAATGGTTAGGGTGCTGAACTAGGATCACAGAGATCCAGGTTCTAGTTGATCCTTAGACACCAAAGCTAACTGGGGTGATCATTGGGCCAGTCATTCCTTCTCAGCCCTAATTAGTATCAGGCTCTGAAACAAGCTAGGTGAAAAATAACACCTCTTATCTTATCATGACCAATAAGTTTTACTAAGCAGCCTCAGTGCAAAACTGGCAGATGCTGCAACTAAATGGAACAAACATTCAAAACAACAAAAAGGAGGACGAACAACGACCTTTTATATTCTAATTGCGTTCTTAAATTCATAATAATAAAAAATAAGTTCACCAAACCTACCTACCTAACCAGTATAAATGTTCATTTTCTAAATGGGCTTAAAAACAATTTTACTTTTTCCTGATTTTACTGAAGTCCTTGAAATGAGCATCATATCTATTTTGTGTAGAAATATTTTTAAATAATAATTTCTTCTATACAGAGCGATCTTGAGCCTGATCCTGTGGATATTTGCAGACCGTCTCATCAAAGATGCTATAAGACTTTCTTGTGAATAAGTGTGCATAGGAATATGGCTCTGCTTACAGCTATAATGATGACACAATCCATTTGACAAGCCTTGCACACCATACAGGCAATTGCTTCTCATTGTAGCTTGCTTAAAAGACATGCTAAATGTTTGGTTTTCTTTTCTTTTATGAAGCAGGATTTCTTGAATATGCTTTTTATAAAGAAGATCCATCCAGCTGCAGCACAGAATTCATATATCTGTATACTTACCCTGTTAATTCTCACTTACAGCTGAGATATTTTTTTTATTTTGTTTCTAGCTATGAAATATCAAGGTGGATACAAAACTGTAATTATAACCTCATTTGGGTTAAAAAGTTTTACAAAGTCCTTCTTAGTTGTATAGATCTGAGTAAGACTTTATCTTAGAATAACATCCTGTAGTCATGGCTAGATTAAGGAGCTTCAGGAGTAAAATGTTCCCATTTAATCCCTAGCTTTGCTCACTTAAAACTAGGAGAAGGATGCTTGTAAGGAACAAGGAGTATCACAGAGCAAAAGCAATAGTTATGTTTTTGTCCATTGTTATATTGTTACTAAGGAATAATGATTTTATAACAACCTTTTAACTGTGTCTTTTTCTCTGCTTAATAATTTATTTCCTAGATATTAAAGGCTGAGACATACAATAGCTATTTTCAGAATGCCTTGCCAGTTTAACTACAAACCATGCTGGTTAGGAATTCTGTGGAATGGACCTTTGAACAGCCCCAAGTTGGGGAAGGCTGAGCTAAGCTAAATTTCTACTTTAAAGTTTATTTTTGGTAAATAAGCTCAGAAACAAACTACAAGCAGAATTTTAAAAAAGAACCCGCCTAATATTATTCACATTTTAAATAATCCTAATTAATAATTTTAATTGTATTAAGGAAACAGGAATCAACAACAAAAAAGACTGTAGTTATTTGAGATTAAACAGGTATATAAATCAAGCTCCAGTAAGAGGTGTTTTTTTTTTTTGGTATTAAATCTGGTAAAAAAAATAGAATTGTGTTATTGGCTAAAGATTCAATAAGTATGTTTCTATTTTCAGGAGTAAATCAAGACTTTCCAAAGCAATGCCAGTAAATGTATCTCTGGCTACTAACTTGTTAAAACAATGAGATTTTATTTTTTTGCTGGATGCTATTATTTTAGATGCAATGTAAGGCCTATATTCCAATTCATTGCAAAAAAAAAATATCTATGATGTGGTTTTTAATAACCTTTTTGGAATCCATGTAATCTTTCTGAGCTAATCTTTATGTTTCAAACATAGCAAATTATTTTAATTTAAACTGATTTTTCATTTCATATTTATCAATGAAGAGTTTAAAGATTTTCAATCTCCTTTATTAGCTTTAATGTTATATTTTTGAAAAATGAAGGGAAAGGGTTTTCCACATTTGCAAAACTACTTACAAGTAAATGGTTTTTAGTTTTTAGTTCAAATCAGAATACATGAAATTTCTGTTGGCACCAATTAGGAAATGCACAGATATCTGAAATGGCCAATAGAGACCCAGTTATTTGGTAACTGGTATGTATTGTAAAACAAAAGCAAAACAATTCCAGAGTAGAAAAAAATCTCTATTCATTAAGTAAGCAGAAATGTGCTTCCCTTTGTCCAGCTTTTGTGATACTGAGTAATAAATGCTGGTAATAGCCCAATTTCACTTTCACAGGAAAGAGCAAACATGGTAAAATTTATAAGAATGCAAAGTATAAACACAAAGATAACTTTTCCATTTCAAACCATGAGGAGCTCTAGCAAAAATCAATCTTTATCATATTTATCAGTGAGATAGAGAAACCAGTGAAGCTTAAGCGGGGGGGGGGGGGACATTATTTTGGATTGTATATTTTCCATAAAATTAACTCTATAGTTTTCAAATACAAGACTCATACCAAAAGGAACTAACGAAACAAGGTAGTTGATGGATGTGGAATTTCAGTTTCTATCACTGCAAGATATATATTTTTCATACTTGATGATAAACAAATATATTCATGACCAGATAGAGCCTTTAATTTTGTCTGCTTGTTTTAATGCAGACATAGTTGCTTGTCAAGCACAGCTATTTTCACATGCAAGTGAGACAGTTGGATGCCAACCTAGTTAGACCACAGTTTATAAAAATACTAGTCGTAAGCACAGAAAATAGCAGAATAGATACTCTGCACCTCTTTACAATGACTTCTCATATAGCATTCCTTATTTGTACTGGATTCAGCTACAATTCAGCTACCATTTAAATAGACAGGTGTGCAACATTTGTACACACCTAGTATGTAAGCAATGGAGAATCAAATCTTTTGCTTTTTTTCAGACCCTAAGAAATTTAACACTGACTAGCAACTTGAAATCTTTTTGAAGTAGAATATCCTGGTGTTTAAGTAAGGGAAACAAAAATTCAGCAATTATTTTGTCACCTGTGCTGTTCAAATGGCTTCTTTCTTTCCTTTTTTAGCCTTCAAATACAGATTGGCCAGGCTACAAATCTTGATATGTATGGATGACATCTGTGTAATGTGTGTGCACGAGACACACACACACACAGAGAGACATTCTTCTTTGAAGTTCTTGTTTCCCTACAAATAAGTTAAAATCTAGCTGAAGAACACAATGTTGGTCAGAGCCAGTTTTTGGCATGCAAATTGTCCTGTAAAAATAAACAAGCACATCCATGAAGTCAGAGGCTTGCCCGGGTAAAAAAATAAAACCACCACCACCACCATCACAGGATTTCTCTTCATCGCTAGTTATTTGTTAGCCAGCTTTCCCTTGCACCAGGTTTAGTGAAAATAGTGGAAGAGCCTTGCTGCCGTTTCTGTGCTTTCCTTTCTTTTTTTATGCCAGCTTTCCCAAACTGGTGCTCGCAGGGCAGCTGATGTCCAGCATATCTGCAAGGTACCAGGATGAGGAAGGCCGCGTGAAGCTTGCATAGCAGAAATATTTCTAAACCTTTGTGCTCTTTCTTTATCTTCAATTTCACTCATGTTGGACTAACAAAAAGAAACAGCTATCTCAGTACAAGATTTATCTCAGTCGCAGGTTCTAACAGTTATCCAAAAATTTCTCCCCCCCCCTCCTTTCAAACATACTTCAGACATGATGGGAATGCTTAAAGTGAAAAACTACATTTGTACCATAATCACCTCAACATTTATTTTGAGATGTTCTGAAGTTAAACCAATTAAATACTTAAAAGACATATCTATTTATTTATGTAACTATGTTTGTATGATATATGCTACGAACAGAAAAAAATGATGAATTTGCAGGTGAGTTAATTTTGATGTTCTTTTTGAGGCACTCCTTTTCTCACAGCTAGCATTGTGTTCAAATTGTATACATTGACAAAATGCATCGGCCTCCAAAAGCTTGTCAACATTACTACTATTAAATTTATATATCACAGTTTAAATTACACCCATTTCTTGAACGATCAAATACTAAAACTCAAGTGTCTAACTGCTAAAATACAGCCTTACTAGAATGAGTACAATTTACAAATACAATAATTACAATTTAAAACATGAACAATATTACATCTAGAAGTAAATACTGTAGGACTGATCAACATGGCATTTTCTGAGAGAGAAATGTTGAATTGCTGATGCTTTCAACAGAAATGTCCTGAATACAGGATTCAGTTAGTTTCCCCTCAACAGCATATAAAAGCCATCCAACCACGCAGTCCTCAGCTATATGGATTTTCAACATACTTGCATATACTTCGGTTAGTTATCTGCCAGGTACTTTCCTGTAAAAATAATTAAAGGCATGTAAAAAGAAAAGTTAATGACATTTGTAATGCCTAGATTTATTTTTATAAACACACTGTTATCAACTAAATATAGTACCAGTTAAATTATGAGAATCAAAGTGAGACCTAAATAGTTGATGAGACCATTACGAAACATGAACTTCATTGTAAAATTTTGTGAAGCAAGAGGAAGAAGTATAGATATTTATTTATTTATTGGAGGCTATACAACTCCAGATGTTTCTGGACATCTTACACTTTAGAAAAGAAAGAAGCAAAAACGAGGAAAACAGATCATATATATCCACTGCAGGGTAGGGAGGCGGATACACATCAAGCAAAAAAGACAATGCAGCAATAAAAGGTACACTTTTAGCACTCATAAATGTCTTAAATAAAAATTGTCAAGATGTGACGTAAATAATTTATCCACATGGTATCCTTCCTATGTGCTGAAGTTGACAATGTTCTAGTTCATAAACAACTGGAACTACAGTGGAGAATATTGGTCTGCTTCCTGATTCAGCAAATTATATAAAATTAATATATTAAACTACTGATCGTGGTTGAAACGCATAATCAACCAACTACACAACGCTACTTTGTTCTTCAATCTTTAGTTGTCTTCTTCATCTGCTTAACAGACTGAGATAAAGTGCAGGAGCAGACATATGGGAAAATAATCAAGGAAGAGAAGTTGTATTTTTTTGCCTACACGTATGCAGTTCCAGTGGAGTTTGATTGACTTGTTTTCCTGGTTGAATTACAAACTGAAATATGTGGCTGTCATTGTTCATGAAATTCTTAGTTGGTAAATTTGACCAGGTACCTTCTAATACCTGAATGACTAGGTGCAAATGGCACTGAAATTATACTTATCACATCTAATAATCCAATTATTTTTGTTGATACACATTTCCATTATTAATTATTATTGTTGGTCACACAGTCAGACGTTTAGACTGAATTTGGCATTTTTCCTATCGAATCTTTCCCAAGAATCTGAGATAGGATTATGATTATCATTAATATTACTGTAGGAAAATAGAATTTAGCTTTTCCTTACCTGCTGCAAATCTCTTTTTGATAAGTGAAAAACGATACCCAGCTCCAACAAGTTCAATATCACAGCTGGACAGAGTGCTCCCTTCGCTAGTGAACTGCACAACCAGGGGTGAAGGTTTACTTGGTCCGTCAGATAACTGGAATCGTGCAAGCAAGGAACCTACCCCTTCAGACAGAAAATTCATCAAAGTACATTAATATAGAAAACAATGCAGTCTTGTGCCTAGACTATAGAAAGCCCATTAATACAATACTGGAGTAACATAAGGTTTGGACTGCATCCTAGTCTTTTCACATGACAAACTTATGCCCTGAGATAATTGAAGTTTGAAAATAAACTTTTTTTAAAGACATGGATAAGTTAAAGTATTCAAGCTTTAAATCAGTCTATTGCAAATTAAGCTTTAGGCCATTTGAGCCACTACTTGAGGAATTTAAACTACTCTAAATTGCAAAATGGCAGGGTATTTAATTAACCCAGGGTCTCCAAACTTAGCAATTTTAAGACTTGTGGACTTCAATCCCAGAATACCCCCAGCCAGAATGCCAAGTTTGAAGATCTTTGAATCAACCTACTATATTTGTTGGAATTCACAATTTGTCCCAGAGGCGCTGGATGAAACTAAAGCTCCTGTATTAGTATAACTATTACAATGTGTTTTAGTTATATCTAACACTGTATTAAAGTTTACAAACAAAGAAGTTACTGCTGTGGTAAATTTAGCTATGTTTGAAAACTTTGGAACAGGTCAAAGTGTTTGGTATCATGGAATCAGTCCATGGTTCAAAAATATTAAATATATCTCCTGTTAAGATAAGTGTAATTCAATGAAAAAAATTTTTTTATATCTATTTAGGTACTCACATAATATTGGCTTGTTCAGTTAAGGCTCCATTTTGCTTTAACGTTCACAAAATTGTTAATTTGGTGTTACACAGATAATTGTTCAATATATGAATATCTTTTTGAATTATATAACAACATTGTTTGTATTGTTTATATGCATCGTATATTTTATATGCTTTCTATTCCAGTCTATTTCTAGTTGAATATCTTAACTACCTTGAAAAGATATGGGTGATTGATCAAAGAATGATGAAAGGGAAGAAAGTTTTACTAGGAATATAAACTTGTATGATTACCTCCATTTTCAGATTTTTGAGAAATATCAGGAATTCTCCACAATATCCTTTGTTGTTCAGTATTCCTAAAAATATGAAAAAAATTCTCAAGAAAGAGAACACTGAAGAACACTTCTAGCAAAATTGTATTCCATTCTAGAATATACAGTAAGCAAATTAAGTATCACCCATCTAACTCAATTCTGTTTATATCATACCTTCAGTTATTTTTTGTTGAATAAGGGGATAGAGTAGGGTTATGCGAAATGTTTTGAATGTGAGATATGTTTTTATTTGTTAACTTTATTTGCCGCCTATCTTGCTGTGGGGGCTACTCTAGGCAGATTTTTTCAAGTTGAAAGTTCTAGTCTGGAATTATTTTTTTCTCAAATTGCCTTGTTTCAGACTCAAAATAGAGTTGTTTTTATTTTAAAATGCTGCACATCCAAAATGATCAGAAGTACTCATTTAAAACTTAAAGCATTTTGAATTTGAAATATTTACTATGCTATGCTCTAAAATAGGGGTCCCCAATCCCTAGTCTGTGGACCGGCACTGGTCCGTGGCATGCTAGAAACTGGTCCACCCAAACAAGCAAAGCCCCATCTGCAGATGCAGGCAACACATAAAACCCACGCCCCCTCCGGTCCACAGAAAAACCTCTCTCCATGGAACTGGTCCCTGGTGCCCAAAGGGGGGGGGCGCTGCTCTAAAATGAGTATGTTGCACTTGTATACAATATATTTCCTGTATTTTAAGTGTAATGCTAAAATTTTGAATTAAGAATTCAGGAAGTTCCATACCTACTTGCATTCTGTACATATATCTGAATCAATGATATATATGTTTCTATCTGAATCATGATACAAACAGTACCATAGCAACAATAGACCTGTTCCTGTCCATTACTTTCCTGCAATTAAGGCTACAGTGAGATTTGCCAAGGGAAATCTAAAAGCAAAGAGATGGATAGATAGGTAATCCTTTCTGTTCCCACCCTAGCAATCCCTCTCTTATTTCTCCACAATCTATCTGTTAATGCAGAGGTCCCCAACCCTTTGGGCACCAGGGAAAGGTTCTGTGGAGAGAGGTTCTTCTGCGGACCAGAGGGGGCATGGATCTGTGTGCTTTCTGCATCTCATGGATGGGGCTTTTCTTGTTTGTGTGGGTCGATTGCTGGCATGCCGCGGCCCAGTATTGGTCCATAGACCGGGGGTTGGGGACCCCTGTGCTAATGTGTTTTTCCCTTGTTGAGGCATTGAAAAAAGACTCATCACTGTTATTACTAGCTATAAACTAAAGCAGGGACCAAATTTACAAATTATGGAGAATCTTAAAAAGAGCTTTTGTTTGTAGGTGTTATATTTATTGATATTTACTGAACTAAAAATTAAAATTGATGCATTTACTGCCTTTCTCATGATTGATGGAATTTTTAATATTGTATTATGTTTCAACATTGGCTGGCAAATAATTTTGATATTGAAGGCCCTTGAGAGGTTTTTGGGGGGACCCCTAGGGGTCCTGAGACTACACTTTGAAAAATACTGCATTAAAGCAACCATGTCTTCTTTGAGGCTTCTGCACAAATCTAAAAGAAAGAAGTGGCTGTTTAAAAATTGCCTTAAGGAGTTGACTCACTTAAGACATGGCAATCCCCCCCCCCCCCCACACACACAAACACATTTGTGAAGAAGCCTGAAAAAAAGGCATGGCTGCCCTAATAATCTGGAGAGAGGTACTGCGCTTCCAGAAAGTCTGAAGCCCTTATTAATAATTTGTGTAGTGTATATGCGACACAATTTCTAGTGACTCTGGGCCGTTTCCAATTGTAAAAACACTTGAAAACAAATAAGAATACCAGAAATATCTTAAAAACAAAAATGATCCCCCAAAAGAAACAGAGATGGCTTCTTCTGAATGCCGTTTGCTCTTTCTCATCATACTTGAAATGCTAAATACTTATACAGACAAAGTTGTGCCAAAGTTTTAATAAGCATATGGCTCTTAATGACTACAGCTTGCCAAGACTATTTCTGGCTCTCCAAAGGTTTTACTCAACTTCAGTTACCAAAAAAGTACACTGATGGAATAAGAAAGAGTTCAAGGAACACCTCTGGTTCATACCAAATGGCAGGTGGAAGCACAGCTTGTAGTTTTGTCACTCCACCATCAATAGGAACAAGGAATTGCACATTGTTTAAAGCTACTGGTGTAGTCATTGCCTCTATATTATACTTGTAGTCTATGCGTAGATCTGTGCTTGTAGGTTCACACCGCCAGTTCACTGCAAGATTCAGTGGAGTAGATTGAATACCCTGTGTTGATACCTTGTAAGATAGAAAGAACATTTAGTATCTGTATGAGCCAGCAGACACAGAGAGGAAAAGAGTGTGAGAGAAATGTTTCATAATGAACATCTGAAGAGTTTATGATTAAACGATGATTATAGACTCTGCAAGATCAGAAAGGAGCTCATACCTGGTATTTAAGCATATCCACATTATAGTATGTTGCTTGTGGTTTCTGTTCAGACACTTTCCTCAAATGAGTCATCAAATTTGGCATGTTTACCCAGAACTCCTTTGTGTTGGCATCAGCATGAGTGCTGTCACTGCATTAATTTAAAACAGGAGGTACACATGCCATTTTCATCAATATAAAATATTTGTCAGTTTTGTATTAAAATTATAGTTAATTCCAGCTGCACAATTTCTCTTTAGGCTAGGGGAAATAAACTTAACAATGTGTGATCTAGTGGAGTAAAGAAGACCTAAGGACCTATGCAGTGGTGGGATTCAAATATGTGAACAACCAGTTCTTTGTGTGGATGCCACTTCCGGAAGTCGATTCTGGGCCTGGGCAACAAAAAATTAGCTATCAATTCTGCCAATTGGCTGAATCCCACCCCTGGACCTCTGTCACAATCTCTTGGGGTAAGAGATTGTTTTCTTCTGAGTTTTGAAATCACGTTCATTCTTTTTAAAAACTAGATTTTTACCTAACCTAAGTATTACACTAGAGCCAGTTTGGTTTGGGAGCTTTTTCAAAGAACAGCAGAAAAAAAAAGATTCAGTGCAATTTAAAAATCAATTAATAAATCAACAACATAAGCCATAAACATATGCAAAAGTTGCAAAAACTACTATTTCCTGTAAAAAAACCCTATTACCATGATATTTACCAGCAAAGAAGTTGAGGATTTGGCAAAACATGTTCCAATCTGTTGTAATTTGTCACACGAAATGTTAGAACAGCTGGAGCAGGGTTATTGGCAAAATGTCTAGTAATTCCCGCAGGAAATGACAGCACCATTTCTCCGGTAATCTTTACTATACATCTTCAGAATCAAAAGAATGGCAGGCAGAGAAAAAAGAGCACACAAGTTATGCACACTAACCAGTTTTGAATCAAAACATATGTATGCATAGTCTGGTTTCTTATTTTCAGCATATTCTACTCCCGCTTCAGGCATCCATATAGTATGAATTTATCGTACACTCATTTGGAAACATGAAAAATGGTGTTCAAGAATTTGTGAAGCTATTAAAAAGAATGCAAGTTCTTCAAATATGCCAGAATTACAAACTAAGTTATACCCACAATTTTCATGTTTTTTAAAAAATGATTACAATAAAATGTTTTAGGAAGCAATTTTTAGAAAGCAAGATCAATGGCTAGGAAAAATGTATAAAGCTACACTCTTTGATTTATTATGTTCCTCTGAATTATATGATATCTATCTTTGCATGAACAGAACTGATATATGTCCTAAAGATGAAAGATTATAACATATGGCCTGAATTAGCCTTGGGATATATTTGTGCTAGTTTTAGTGATTCTGAAAATGTGGTACAAAATTTAGGAAACTATCTCTGGGTTGAATCTGGAGTTGTATAGAATAGAATTTCACTAAGTTTACTTATGAGGGCAGAAGATAGAAGGAGAAATATGGCACTTGCTCTCCCTTTCTATTTCCTGCTCCTTTCCATTGGAAATTTGCTCTAGAAAGTTTCCCGGAGACTGATAGCATTGTGGGCAGTGGAGATGGTAAGAGAAAATCTCTATTACGGCTCATTATCTCCATGAGGAAGTACATTAGTTCCTAATTTGTCATCCCTAGGTATTAAGGCATATTTGAAGAATTAAATGGCACATTAATCACTGGACATTAAGGGGTATATTAAGAACTCCAACAAAATGGGTATCATTAAGAAGAATATAATTAAATCCTGGAAACTATAATTTAAAGGGCTGTTATTTTTTTGAAAAATATCATGTCCCATTGCCATTCCGTAATTATTCCCCAACATATGTATCTGATGAAAGGAAATGTTTTCTCTAGATTTGTTGCTATATTGTGAACAAAGGGTATTCAAGAGGAAATGGGTAGTGTAAATCCAATCCTGAATTGCCAACTAAATGGGAAGATGAAGAGAAGAAAGGGTACAACGCTTACTTGTTAGGATCAGCTCCTTTGAAGTACGCATTAACAGTTTCAGTGAAAGCTGCAGCTACAGGGAGGGTGTCTTGTGCACCCATTGTTAAGGGGCTGGGTCCTCTGGAAGAGCCTGCAACCAATGAAACCCAGACATTCTCTTTTTCACTAAAACTTTTTTACTTCTTTCAAATCAATGTTAAAAAAAAAGATAGAGGTGGATTTGAAAAATACAGTACAGGTAGTCCTTGGTTAACGACCATACTAGGGAGCAGAAAATTCATTGTTAAGCAATGGAATCATTCAAATAGACAGACAGACAGACAGATAGGAAGGTAGGTAGATAGGTAGATAGACAGATAGATAGATAGATAGATAGATAGATAGATAGATAGATAGATAGATAGATAGATAGATAGACTTTATTGTCATTTTTTATTGTGGGCATACTGGCACAAATTAAAAACGAAATTCTGTTGCCTGCTCTCAAAAGTGTACACATACACAACATACATATAAACATGCTGTATACATACATATGTATATAAGGCATCACATGGCTACCACTTGTGGTTTTCCCTGCTGGCTTTCCCACAGACTTTACTTGTTAGAAGCCAGTTGGGAAGATCTTAAATGTGACTGTAGGATGCTGTGACTTTCATAAATATGCAACAATTCCCAAGTGCCTAAATTACAATCACATGACTGTGGGAATGCTGTGACAAATGCAAAGTCTGATTGTAAGCCACAGTTTTTAGCAACTGTTGCAACTATGAACAGCCACTAAAAGAACGGTTGTTTGGCAAGAACCTCTAAAAACAATCTTGTTTTTATCACCAAAGCAGACTACAGATATACACAATATCTATATTTCTTTAAGCAATATAATAAATAAAACAATATAATTCAGACAACATCAAAACAAGAGGAATGTTTGCTTGAAATTAAAACAGCTTTTTTTTTTTGCATGGTTGTACAGTAGAACATGACCATTTGGGCCAATCATTTGAGGATCTATATAATGGCAGTTTAGTGATAGTTGAATTTAAGATCATAATAATCTACTGATAACAGCAAGTACTCAAATGTTGCTTAAAAGACAATGTAAATGAAGGAAAAAAGGGGAAGTCAACAAGAGAAAACCTGAAGGATAAATGTATGCTGGTTGCTCAATATGATTAGCCAGAGAAGACTAGGATTATGATGTTCATAAACATGGGAGAATGACTGGAGAATAACAGCCTTAGCTGGAAGGAAGAACAACCACTCCTTCCTCTTCCCCCAGTTTAAAGGCTAAATTCAGTATATGAGTTTTCTGAAAAAAGGAGAATATATTCCACTGGAAATTACTTTGAGATGTGCAGTTAGTTTTTTGTTTTATGAACCTCTGAAATAGGTTGAGAGACATAAAGAGCTCATAGGTACCTACATGCAGTGGTGGGGTTCAAATATGTGAACAACCAGTTCTCTATGTGGATGCCACTTCCAGAAGCCCATTCTGGCCTTGGGCAACAAAAAATTAGCTACCGGGTCTGCCGAACCGGTGCAAACTGGCTGAATCCCACCACTGCCTATAATTCAGTTGTCAACTAGAAGTCTAGAAACTGAAGTCCTAGCATATCTGGAGGGTTTCAGGTTTGGGAAAGGCTGATTAAAGTATGGATTATACTAAAAGAACATGTATCAGAAGCATTATACATAATTTGCAACTTTTTAGTAATAGTGTCTAAGCTATGAGCAATTGTTGGCAGCTAAAGTTTAGATAAAATAAATGAAGCACTAGATAGATACTGCCTATTTTCTTAGCAGCCAGTATATGCAGATGTAATCCATATTATTTTTCTATTATATTTGATTTAGAATAGTGAGAAACTGAAGATCAGATGTTCCCTTCCCCTTCTCAGGATATCAACAATTGCAAGAGAAAAAAGTGGGATTTTTGTATATTACAATGACAAATGACAAAAGCTGAGCATTCCATTAACAGAATTCTACAGATCTCATTTTTAATACTTAAGCAATAGCATGCTCCTTTTGGCAGGGCACATATATTTTAACTTTCAAAGAATACACGGGGATAAGGGTTAGACGCGGAAACCAAATCAGGCAGAAAAGGTATAGATTTATTTTCAGAGCCTGTTATGGACCTTGAATCCTTGCATATGACCAGCAAAAAGCTGTTTTTGTTTATTTTAACCTTTAAACTAAAACTAGAGGAGGAGGATGCTTTCTTTAGACTGGGTTCAATTAGACTGGCACAGCAATGAAACAGACTTGAATATATTATCGAGTTGTGACCAGGTGTTTTCCGTGCAGGCGGAGACCACATTTAATATTTCAGAAAGCTTCAAGATTCAACCCAGTATTTAATTAATCAACACATTTTAAAAACTGTAAAACTTCCTTAGATTTTAACAAGGCTAGGTTATAAAGAAAAGAAAAGGAAAGTCTGTGCGAATAAAGTATGATTGCTCATTCTGCATAGGCCCTTTGTGAGGCCTTCACAAGGCTTCAGGGAGGCCTTGTCACAGAGCAAAAGCTGCTTTGGCCAGACCTGCCTCAGCAGCAGCAGCAGCACCAGGAGAAAAAAGCTGCTGGTACGTGAAGTAGCAGGGATAGGTGGGAGTGGAGTGCAAGCAACAGACTGGGGGGAAGAGACAGGTGAGTGGTGCTTCCAAGCACCCAAATTTTAATCACATGTACGCAGAGGCGCTGCAGTGGTCTAACTTCAAGGATTGCTATAGCTACCATTGATTCAGTGCAGTCGTAAATTCAAGTGGTCACTGTATCAATGGTAGCTATGTGGTGACTACCTGTATGCACCTTATGTCAGCAAGAATATTCCAAGGGTATGCTTTGGAAAATGATTTGCCTTAACCAAACAAGGCATACTTAAAAAAATACATGGGATACTCATTGCAATGTATTTGCTCGTTGTGAATGGCCAAAGAAAGCCAAAAGTCATAAATGAAGATTGGCTGTTTTAAGGACCAGGCCTCAAATCAAAATATTGATTTACTTTAAATAATGCTCTTAAAAAAAAACATTTACTATAGCAAACCCCAGCCATTTACTTCTCTAAGTACATTGATAAACAGCTTTGTAGCGCTTCTATCCATCCCTCTCTAGGAAATTCTGCTTTCTGAGTTCTAGGTTCCCACAAAATAGGTATTTTTTGGCATGTGGAGTCAAAACCTTATTCCACACCTTCTCACAGATTGTCCTTGAGGATTATGCATATAACTTTTTACTACTCCTCAGTTTGTAAATATCTCATTTAATGAAAGCCCTTCATCTTACCTGCCTATAATTTGTATGCCCAATCAGAGGGAAAATATAAATACATTTTTCTAGATATTCTTCTAAAATAAATAAAGTTACATACATACATATAAACATAAATTAAGAAATAATTTAAAATAACTTATTTGTTCCTGTTTAAGAATACAGTAATAGTAATAATTATTCTTCCCAAACTCTTAGAACGCAAATATTAGAAAAGACCTAGTGTAAATATTTTTTTTGTTGGGTAGATCATCATCATTATCATCATCATCCAAACTATCAGAAAACAAAAGTGTGTATGTAAAAGACAGCCAAGAACAAGCACTGATGCAAATTAAACACTAAATGTACAGGGAACAAAAAGTGAATATCAAAATAGTGTAATAAAATCCTGAACAGAATGCTGGTAAGGAAATGCATTACATGGTCAGTTTCTGCCTAAAAGATTAAGGGGAAAGTGGATAAGGATAAAATCTGCAATAGCTTATAATTGGAACATTAAAAAAAGAAACCAAAGGGTCCATTTTGGCTGTGCAAGAGCAAGCTATTAGAACTAATGCAATCAAGGCTAGAACTGAAAAATTGAATGATTAAAAATGCAGACTGTGCAAAGAAGCAAAAGAAACAGTAGATCATATATTCAGCTCATGCAAGATGGCACAAACTGGTTATACTCAATGACATAATACAGTTGCCAAAACTGACTCATTGGAACATCTGTAAAAATTATAATATACCTGTAATGAAAAATTGGAGGGAACTTTAAGTTGAAAAAAAAGTTGACAATGAGCAGGGATTTTCAAGTAGTCTTAACTCACAATATATCAGATATAACTCTGGTTGAAAGAAAAAAGTGTGGATAAATTGATGTGGCAATACCAGAGGATAGTAGAATATAAGACAAAGAATTGAAGAACACAAAGTAATAAGATCTGAAAAACGAAATTGAAAGATTATGGCATAAATCAGTTATGGTGATCCCAGTTGTTATTGCCATACTGCGTGCCGTATGAAAAAAATCTTGGCCAGTACTTAGAAAAATCTGTGCATTAACAAAATTTCCATCAATTGCAAAATGCCACAATACTTGGATTCACCTATATACTACACTGAGGCATTATGACATCCTAGATTCTTGAACTTGATGTGTATGAAGACAAACATCAGCTAAAGAACTGGCAGCTCTGACTTGTCATTGTTGTGAACAGATAATAACAATAATAATACTGAACTGATTTGTATTTTTGTCATGCAAGTGAATGGAACAACTGTGCAACAAAAAGGATTAAGCCTAAAGTAAAAATCTCTAATTCAGAATTTGCCCAGGTCCCATCACAACTATGAGCCACCCACTGCTTCTTGAATACAGGAACAGATATCATCCTCCACCAACTCTCAGCCCATCACAAATAATGCCCTGCCTATGTTTTGAAGCTCTGCTTCAAAGATACTATTTCTATTCTAAGCAATCTTAAGCATTTCCAAGTGATTAGTCTATCACGTTTCATTCCAATCTAACATACCTCCAGTTCTATTTGGCTACAGCATCTTGTATGCTCCCCCCTTCCCCCAGCACCAAGTTTCTTCTTGTAAGACTATTGCATCCTTCCACTTTTCCCCGTTCTTCTTCCAGTTGACTCATTCATGGCTTATAAAGGAAATGAAGTCCAATAAAGTCTTCTGGCAACCATGTGATCCCCATTTTTGCAAAATACCTTTGTTCTATCCTTAATTTTCAAGTAACCATAATTTGCATTGGCTGGTTGAACCATATCCTTATTTCTTTTTCTTTCTGTGTCTATTGTACTGCGATGGCTCCCTCCTACACACACACAATACCTTTTTAAA